AGATTATCTGTGCCTTACGCAGAAAGTCAAGAAGTTATTAGATTAATTCGGCAGGCTATAATGTGGCAAAGAAACTTGTGGAGTATTCTAGAAACCAACAGAAGGCCACCAAAAAGGTGATACAAGGGAACTAGCAGAATATGGAAGTAAAGTAAAATAACAAAATTGGCCCAGATCTTCCTGTTTCTGAGTAATTAGTGAATAGTTGTAGCCCAATACTGCACATCAGAATTCCTGACACACTGATTCCACGGAAATACCCAGTCAGTTTAAACTCCCTCCACAGCTACACTGGCACTATCCCCCACCTCTTCCTCCGCTACATCGATGACTGTATCGGCGCCGCCTCATGCTCCCACGAGGAGCTCGAACAGTTCATCAACTGTACTAACACCTTCCACCCCAACCTCACGTTCACCTGGACCATCTCTGATACGTCTCTGTCCCTCCTGGACCCCCCTCTCTACATCTCTGGTAACCACCTCGAAACTGATATCTATTTCAAGCCCACCGACTCCCACAGCTACCTAGACTACACCTCCTCTCGCCCACCTTCCTGCAAGAATGCGATCCCCTATTCCCAATTCCTCCACCTCCGCCGCATCTGCTCCCAAGATGAGGCGTCCCACTCCCGGACATCCCAGATGTCCTCGTTTTTCAAGACTGCAATTTCCCCCCCCTCAGCGGTCGAAAATGCCCTCGACCGCATCTCTTGCGTTTTCCGCACCTCAGCCCTCACAACCCCTCCCTGCAATAAAAACAAAGACAGAATTCCCTTTTCCCTCACATATCACCCCATTAACCTCCGGATTCAACGCATCATTCTCTGCCACTTCCGCCACCTGCAAACTACGAAGGATATATTTCCCTCCCCACCCTTATCTGCCTTCTGAAGGGACTGCTCTCTCCGCGACTTCCTCGTCTGCTCCACACTCCCCACTAGCCTCACCACCCCAGGCACCTTTCCCTGCAACCGCAGGAGGTGCTACACCTGCCCCTACACCTCCCCCCTTGCCTCCATCCTCACATCCATCCCAGGCCCCAAAAAAACCTTCTACATTAAACAGATGTTCACCTGCACATCCGCTGATGTGGTCTATTGTATCCGCTGTTCCCGATGTGGCCTGCTGTACATCAGGGAGACCGAGTGGAGGCTCGGAGACCGCTTTATGGAGCACCTATGCTCGGTTCGCGACAAAGGACAACACCTCCCCGTCGTGAACCACTTCAACTCCCTCCTCCTATTCCCTGGACGACGTCCATCCTGGGCCGCCTCCAGTGCCACAACGATGCCAGCCGGAAACCGGAGGAACAGCACCTCATATTCCACCTTGGAAGCCTACAACCCAATGGTCTTAATGTGGACTTTACTAGCTTCAAACTCTCCCCACCCCCGACCTTATCCCAAGACCAGCTCCCCCACCTCATCCCCACCTCCTTGACCTGTCCATCTTCTCTCCCACCTATCTGCCCCTCCCTCCTCACTGACCAATCCCATCCCCACTTCCCACCTACACTCACCTTTGCTGGCTTCATCCCTGCCTCCTTGAGCTCTCTGTCTTCTCTCCCACCTATCCGCTCCACTATCCACCTGCTATCACTGTCCCCCGCCTCTCTATTTATTTCAGAGACCCCCCCCCACTTCCCCTCCCCCATTTCTGAAGAAGGGTCCCAACCCAAAACGTCATCTTTCCTGCTCCTCTGAAGCTGCCTGGCCTGCTGTGTTCCTCCAGCTCTACACCTTGTTATCTCAATTTAAACTCTTTTATGGCTAATGTCCTGAGACCATGTGTGAATGTTTCTGACTTTGAAATAGAATCTGAAACTTGGGAGATATCAGACTTGTCATCTGAGATAGCTAACCAGGAAATGTTTGACAGATGAAAACCATGTGAAACTCCTGGGTAACTGTACACTTCAGCACCCCACCACACTAAAGATAACCTTTCCACTAACCACCCAACCTAACGAGAGGCTGTGTAAATTGGATCTACGGTCTCTGGAGTTTAACCGAGTCAAAGGTGATTTAATTGAAACATATAAAAATCTGAAAGGGCTCAATCAGGGAGACACAGAATGTTTTTTCTAATTGAGGATTTTAGGACATGGGCACAGAGCTCATTGTAAGGGGCTGATCATTTTGGAATAAGTTGGAGATATTTTGTTACTCAAAAGATTGTGAATCTTTGGAATTCTCTATTTTGGAGTATTATGGATGCTCTATCACAGAATATATTTAAGGTTGTGTCCTCATGTTAGTCGTAAATGACTGGCTCCTCATCCTGTGACTACACTCCTTAATTCTGATCACTCCCAGTCAAGAAAAACAACCATTCAGTTTCTACCCTGCAAACTCTCAAGAATGTGCACTTTAATGAAATCATCTCTCCTTTTTTGAAACTTTCGAGCGCAAGTCCGTTCTAGTCAAACTCTCCTTGTACGTCGCAGGAATCAATCAAGTTGTGATCCTTCATTGACACCCTCTAAGTCCAATTCTCCTTTAGGTAAGGAGACTAAAGCTTTACTCCAGATGTGATCTCAACAACACCTCTATAATTGTAGCAACTTCTTTCTTGTATTCCAACCCTGCAATATAAGATAATGTACCATTACACTTTGTCATTGATTGCTGTGCCTATATGTTAACTTTCTATGCTATGTGTACAGAACACTTCAATACCTCT